TCCATGGTATATTCAAAATTCTTCTCCAGCACCACATATCAAAGGCATCAATTCTCTTTCTATCATCCCTATTCACTGTCCAAATCTCTGATGCATAGCACGTAATTGCGAAGACTATAGCCCGATCAGGTGCACCTTAGTCTCCAGCCTGACGTCATTGCTCTTCAGTACTCTTGAGAGGTCCCTCACAGCTGACTTTCCCAGTGCAATTTGTCTCCTGATTTCCTGGCTGCTGTTACCATGAGTGTTGAGTGTGGAACAAGTAAACTAAAATTGTTAATTATCTCAATCTCTTCACCATCCGTACTGATGCTGCCAATTGGCCAAGTGGTGAGAATCTTTGTTTCCTTGATGTTGAGCTTCAATCCATATGGGAGGCTGCTGTCCTTGACCTTCTGCAGCAAGTGCTTCAGGTCCTCCTCAGTTTCATCAAGCAGGGTTGTGTCATCTGCATAAAGCAGGTTGTTGATGACTCTTCCACCAATTGGGATGCACATTCCTCCTCATACAGCCCAGCATCTCAGATGATTTCTTCTGCATACAGATTGAAAGGTATGGAGAAAGAATACATCCCTGACGGACCCCCTTCTTGATTTTGAACCATGTAGTGTCTCCTTGCTATGTTCTGAAGACTGCCTCTTGGTCCAAGTATAGGTTTTGCATTCACACAATCAAATGTTCTGGCGTTCCCATTAGCTTTTGCATAGTCAATGAACCATAGATAGACATACTTCTGCTGTTCTTTGCTTTCTGCCAAGATCCATCTAACATTAGCTATAATATCCCTAGTACCATGACCTCTTCTAAATCCAGCCAGTACATCTGGAAGTTTTTGGTTGACATATTGTTCCAAACATTTTTTGGATAATTTTCAGCAGAATCTTGCTTGCATGTGATATTAATGATGTTGTTCAATAATTTCTGCCCTCTGTTGGGTCACCTTTCTTTGGAATGGGAACAAATATCGACCTTTTCCAGTCAGTGGGCCAGCTGGCTGTCCTCCAGATTTCTTGGCATAACTTTGTGAGCATATCCAGGGAAGTGTTTGTTGAAATATGTCAATTGGAATGCTGTCAACTCCTGGAGCCTTGTTTTTTGCCAATTCCTTCAGAGTAATTTGAACTTCCTCTTTCATCACCATAGTCTCTCGCTCATATGTTATTTCATGAAATGCTTCTATGTCAACCAATTTCTTCTGATACAGTGACTCTGTGTACTCCTTCCATCTTCTCTTGATACTTCCTAGATGGATCATTTAATATTCTCCCCAAAGTATCCTTAAGTATTGCCACCCATGGCTTGAATTTGTTTTTCAGCTCCTTCAGCTTAAGAAACGCTGAGTGAGTTCTTTGCACATTTCATTATAGTATCTTGCTTTTTCGTCCCGGGCTGCCTTTTGAAATTTTCTGTTCAGTTCTATGATTTCTTCCTTTGGCTTTGGCTTCTCGGTGCTCTAATGCAATACTTAGAATCTCATCTGACATTCTTCTTGGTCTTTTCTTCTTTTTTTTTTTTCCCTTCTTCTTTTTCAGCCTTTGTAATTATCTTTTGCATTCTTCATGGACGATTTTCTTGATATCCTCCCAGAGCTCATTTGCTCAAGGCCTCAAACTTGTTCCTGAGATGGTTTTGAAATTCGAGTGGGACACACTTAAGGTCAAATTTTGGTTCCCGTGGACTTGATTTAATTTTCTTCAACTTCAGCTTGAACTTACATATGAGTAGTTGGTGGTCTGTCCCACAATCAGCACCCGGCCTGGTTTTCACTGCTGATATTGAGCTTCTCCACCCCACCCAGTCTTTCCACCAATGTAATCTATTTGATCCCTATGTATACCATCAGGTGAAATTCATGTGTGTAGCCTGAGTTCATGGTTTTTTATAAAAGGTATTTGCAATGAATAAATCATTGAATGTGAAAAACTTTATCATTCTATCTCCAGTCTCATTTCTCTCACCAAGCCAGTCTTTTCCAGCTACTGATTCTTCTTCCCTGTTCCCAACTTTTGCATTCCAGTTGCCCATTATTGTCAATGCATCTTGATTGCATGTTTGATCAATTTCTAACTGCAAAAGTTGGTAGAAATCTTCTGTTTCCTCCTCTTTGGCTCCTAGTTGTTGGTGCATATATTTTTATTATAGTGGTATTCACTGGATTTCCTTGTATGAATATGGATATTATCCTATCACTCACCACATTGTATTTTAGGATGGATCTAGAAATGACATTTTTAATTACGAAACCAGCCCCATTTTTTCTCACCTTTTCATCCCTGGCATAGTAAATCATATGATCATCTGACTCAAAATGTCCCATGCCAAGCCATCTCATTTCATCAATACTTAACATTAAAGCAATATTTTCTAAAATTAAATCATATATCGTTAACTGTTTTGTTTCATGGAGATCTCAGACCTTTACTTCTTGAAATTCTTACTGGGAGGTAGATGTGGAAGAATATTTGGATTGGATTATTGGATTATGTAATGATTCCTGGACAAAGAACATTGACCCGCTGGTTAACTGTGAAGGAATTTTTCTATTACATTGTGTCAGAATGAATAGTCAAACACATCTCTTTACCTCCTCCTCACTCTTACTTCAGTATGTAGAAAGACCTCTACTTCATGTTGAAGTATTTCTGGATTATGAATGTGATGTGGTGAGGTTTGGTGTGGCCAATAATACCCTCATCTGTGGTTTACTTTCATGCTGCTTCTATTCTATTTCCTTTTCATTGCCCCTGGTGATCAGGTATAGGTTAGAAACTTCTCCATGATTTGAGAAATTTTCACTGAGCCACTTGATTGTATTTCATTTTACTCTACTTTTTGTTATGTTTATTATTATTAAACTCTGATACTTTAAAAAAATCATCTCTCTCAAGTGATTTGACTTACATTTGACATTAGGTCTATACATTCAGATTTAAATAATTTTTGAGTTCCGAAATATTCTTCACTTATGCAAAATCATCTTATTTTAGTAGAAACACCTAAAGTTCATTGATAAGAGTAAAATAGTTCCTTACCACACTTAGTCACTTCTTACGAATTCTCAAAATGTTTTTTTAACACTTCTATTCCTGCAATCACATAGAGATTTTTAAGGTTAGCTGAATGGCTGGACAAAGTTTATTATAGATAATAGCATATGCAGTGTAAATGATGAAAAAAAAAATCAGTATTACTTACCCCTTTTCCCATGGATTTCTTCTCTCTGAAAAAGCCAGACAGAAGTAAGTTATGATATAGATTCAGGCTGTATTTTCAATTTAGCACATAAAAGAAATGTAGAATTTACCAAGTTTTTTAGCGTTTTATTTAAAAATAAAAGAGAGAGTGAGAGAGAGAAGATATCTAATCTCAAAACATAAGATGAAATAATTTGGTTTTCTATAACTTTTTTATTTCTTAATAAATTCTTATCCACTATAATTCTTTGCTTTGTCATCCTCAGCTGCCTTTTGAAATCTTTTGTTCAGCTTCTTAACATCTTGATTTCATCCTTTTGCTTTAGTTCAGCACTCTAGTGCAATCATCAGAGTCTCTATCGACATCCATCTTGGTCCTTTTTTTCTCCTCTCTCTTTGTAATGACCTTTCACATTCTTCATGGAAGAGATTCTTGATATCCTCCCACAGCTCATTTGGTCTTCACTCATTAGTGTTCAAGGTCTCGAACCTGTTCCTGAGATGGTCTTTAAATTCAGGCGGGATAGACTTGAAGTCAAACTTTGGTTTCTATGGATTCGGTTGGGTTTGATTTAGCTTCAGTTTGAACTTACGTATGAGTAATTGATCATCTCTTCCACCATCAGCCCCTGGCTTTGTTTTTACAGCTATGTTGAGCTTCTCCAAAGATTCTTTCCACAGATTTAATCAACTTGATTCCTGTGCATACCATCAAGTGAAGTCCATGTGTATAGTTGCCCGTTTTGTTTCTTATAAAAGGCATTTTTAGTAAATAAATCAATTACACTGAATTCTTACGTTCTATCTGCATCCTCATTTCTGTCACCAAGTCCATGTTTCCTCACTACAAATTTTTCATCCCTGTTTCCAACTTTTACATTCCAGTCACCTATTATTATAAATCCATCTAGTTTGATTTTTATCAATACCTAATTGCAGTATTGGTAGTTGCTATTGTGTGTTGTTGAGTCTGAGCTGACCCATCGCTGACCTTCGGCAGGTTTCAGAGGCAGTTAACCACACGGGAGGAGACTGCTCATCCTCCCACAGGGTAGTTAGTGGATTTGAACTGCAGTCATCTGTTTCCTCCTCTTTGACTCTGACTGTTCGTGCATATATTTGATTGATAGTGATATTAGTAAGTATTCTTTGAATGCATATAGATGTTAACCTGTTCACAACATTCCATTCCCAGATGGATCTAGAAACGATCTGTTTAACAATGAACATAACCCCATTTTCCTCACGTTTTAATTTCCAATGTATATGGTTGTCTGATTCAGAATGTCTCATATCAATCCATCTCATTTCTCAAATGCCTACAATATCAATATTTATGTGTTCCATTTCTTCCTTAACAATCTCCATTTTCCCTGCATTTCTACTTTTCACATTCCACTATCCAGTCTCTAGTATCTATTAGCAACTGTTCCTCTTCCTCTGCTAGTCCCAACACGAAGGCTCAGCATCTGGTGCCGTATGTGCTAGTCTAATATCATTGTGCTCTATCATACACAGGGTTTTCAAAAGCCTTTTGTTTCAGAAGAGAGTGGCTAATCCTTCCTCCCTAGTCTGTCTTATGCTCAGCCGAGACAAATATTTGACAGACATTTTACTCAAAGGCGCAGATGAGAGACCTTTCCCCATTATGCAGGTAACAGATAAGATGCTGGTCCAAACTCCCCCACCTTTGGTGCATGTGTTGTGTTCCCAGCCTGCCGTCATCCAGCTCAGTTCCCTCTCCTTATCCCTCCAGCACCTCCCATCCCCCTGTGCTTAGATAACCCTGGTTTGATGGCTCAGAATTCAGACCACCTTTGTCCTCTCATTTTGTCTCCAGTCCTCTGTGATGTTGGGGCTCCTGCCATAGTTGAACTTCCTGGAGAAGTGAGCATGCACTGTTGAACGCCTTGCTGGTGTGTTAAGACTTCGCTGCAGAGTTGCTTCAGGGTCAAACTCTGACCATCTGTTGGGGAAGGCAGTGTGGGTGAACTCTGGTCTATTTTTAAGGTCTTGGTCTAAAAATAACAAAGAAAGGAAATGTTAATCCAAAAATGTGGAGATAGAATTTAGTCTCCTAAAACTTGGAGATGTCAGTGAGTATTTCAGTCAGATTGCTGGAACTGAACTCTAATTTGGCTAAACTCCAATTCATCATGTCAAACAACTTATTATGGAGAAGTTAGAGTTCTGAGCAGACACTATTTGCATTTTCAATTTAGCATATGAAGAAAAATAGAACTTACTAGATCCTGTACAGCCTTAATCTAAAATTCACATGAAGAAAGGAAATAGGAATACTAAGATGATGAAATTTGACTGAACTCCAATTTATCACATACATGCATGCAGTCAGTTTCAGAGAAGTAAATCTTGTGACATACACCATTTGTGTTTTCAATTTGGCCTATCAAGGAAAATAGAACATACCAATTTTTAATAGACTTAGAATAAAAAGAAAAAAGAATATCATAATTCCAAAAAATATGAAGATAGGATTTATTCTTCTAAACATGGAAGTATCAGTGAATATTTGTGTCAGATAGTTAGAATTTAACTGAGTTCCAAGTCATTATACACATGTAACCAGTTAAGGAAAAAAATCAGTGTTCTCTGCTGAAATCAAGTGATTTTCAATTACACATATGAAGAAAACCACAAAACTTAGCACATTCTTTAATAGTTTGAACTAAAAAGAAAATAAAGACGGGGAATATTAATACCAAAGAACATGGGAGAATATTAATGTTCAGTTTCCTATAACTTAAAATTATTCATTAATACGTGAATTAGATTACTAGAATTTGACTGAATTTCATTGTATCGTGTACATGCCATGCAACTAGTCATGAAGAAGGTAATGTTTTGAGCAGCTGCCATTTATATTTTCAGTATAGCATATGAAAAAAATATAATTGACCATATCCTTTTAGCTTTGGTCTAAAATGAACAAGAAGGAAGGAAATACTAATTTCAAAAAAATGATAATTTTGTCTTCTAAAATCTGGAGATATCAGCAAATATTTTAGTCAGTTTCTTAGAATTTGATTGAATATAAGTTACTCATATAAATGCAACAAGTCACAGAGAATTTAATAACATGAACAGACACTATTTACATTTTCAGTTTATTATCGTTTGATGACCTTGAGTAGAGCATGACTCATAGCAACTCTGTGACCAACAAATCTGAACCCTGTCCTATCCTGGGCCATCCTCACTCTTCCTGATACACTAGAGCACATTGTGGCAGTCACCCTGTCAATCCACTTAGTTGGGGTCTTGCTCTCCTTTGTTGACCCTCAACCTTCCTAGCATTATAGTCTTCTAACTGACAACACTGTCTAACTGACAACTCCTTACTAATTTAGAGAGGTTCCTAACTGCAGACTTGCCCAGTACAATGTGTCTCTTTATTTCCTCACTGCCAATCAAGGATATTAATTGTGAACCCGAGTAAGATGAAGTTGTTGACAGTTTCAATCTCTTCTCCATCCATCATGATGTTGCCTATGGGTTCAGTGGTAAGAATCCTTGTTTTCTTGACATTGAGATGCAATCCATATTTAAAGCTGCCTTCCTTGATCATGTTCCTTTCAAGGAATAGCTCCTCCTACCAAAACACTTGAAATATGTGAGGCAAAGCCTCACCATTCTTACTATCAAAGAGCACACCAGCTGCACCCTCTCCACAGCATATTTGTTTATCCTTTTGACTGTTAGTAAGATGCTCAATGCTCTTCTCTAACACCACAGCACAAAAGCATTAATTATTCTGTCATTTTTATTCGTTGTCCAACATTCAGACACATGGTGATTGGAAACATGATGTTGTTATTGATCAAGTGGTAAGAATCTTTGTTTTCTTGACAAGGAGATGTAATCCACATTCAAAGCTGCATTCCTTGTTCTTCTGCAACAAGTGCTTCAAGTCCTCCTCATTTTTAGTAAGTAAGATTTTTGTCATCTGCATAACACAAATGATGACTTTCCCTCTGATTCTGATGCCATATTCTTCTTCAAGGAGTTCATCTTCTCAATATTTTGCTCAGCATACAGATTGAATAGGTATGGGGAAAGAATACAACCATGAATCACTCCCTTCTTAATTTTAAACCATTTTCCCCCTTCTCTATCCTCACAACAGCCTCTTTTTTTCCAAGTATAAGTTCCACATAATCACAATTAAGTGCACTTGGAATCCATTCTTCTTAATGTCAATCACAACATTTTATTATCCTAACAGTCAAATATATTTGCAGAGTCAACAAATCAGAAAGAGACATTCTTCTGGTATTACTTATTTTCAGCCAAGATACATCTGACATCATCAAAGATATTCCTGGTGCCACAGCCTCTTCTAAAGTCTGCTTGAATTTCTTGCAATTCCCTATCTATGTATTCTTCTGGCCATTTTTGAATGATCTTCATCAGTATTTTGTTTGCATGTTATATTAAAGGTACTCTTTGATAGTCTCCACATTCAGTTGAATCACAGTTCTTGGGAATGGGAACAAATATGATCTTCCAATCCATTGGTCAGACATCTGTCCTCTAAATTTCCTGGTGTGTACTTGTGAGTGCAACTAACGTTGCATCTGTTAAATCAAACAAATCAATTGATATCCCATTGATTCCTGGGGTCTTATTTTTATTTGCCAAGCCTTCAGCACAGCTTCCACTTCTTCCTTTATTAACACTGGCTCTTGTTCATTCAGTGTCAATTAGTAGGGTTTTTTGGTACAGTGATTCTTTGTATTCCCTCCATCTTCTTTTGATGCTTTCTGAGTCATTCAATGTATTGTCCATAGCATCTCCCAGTATTGCAAATTGCGATTTAGATTTTGTTTCCCAGTTCTCTCAGCTTGAGAAATGCGGAGTGAGTTCCAATTCCAGTTCTCTAAACATTCCATTACAATACTTCGCATTGTCCTTCCAAGCTGCCCTTTAAAATCAGCTCTTTTATTGTGACATATTTTCCCTTTGTTTTGGCTTCTCAATGATCCAGCACAATTTTTAGAGTCTCTTCTGGCATTCAGGTTTTTTTCCCCCTTCCCCCTCTGCTTTTGTAATGACTTTTGCTTTGTGATATCATCTCACAACTCATCCAGTTTTTGATCATTGGTGTTCAATGCCTCAAACCTATTCCTAAAATGATCTTGAAATTCAGGTGGAATTTATTCAAGTTCCTTTTGACTTATTTTCATTTTCTTAGGCCTCCATTTTAACTTGCATATGAGTAATTGATGGTCTGACCCACAGTCTTCCTCATCCTAGTTTTTATTGCCGATATTAAGCTTCTTCACTAATTTCTTCCAAACTTATAGTCAATCTGATAACTATGCAGTTCATCAGGTGAGATTCATGTATAAAGTCATTATTTGTGTCTTTTAGAAAAGGTATTTGAGATGAATAAGTAATTGAAAATGCAAAATTTAGTTGTTCTCTTTCCAACCTCATTTCTATCACCAAGCCCATATTTTCCAACTACTATTCTTCCTCCACTATTTCCAACTTTTGCATTCCAGTTACCAGTTATCATTAAAACATTTTGATTGTATGTTCAGTCAATTACAGACTACAAGATTTTGTAAAAATTCTCACTTTATTCTTATTGGCTCTAGATGTAGGAGCATATATTTGAATAATAGTTGTGTTAACAGATCTTTCTTGTATGTGTAGATATTATCCTATCCCTCACAACATTGTATTTCAGGATGGAACTTGAAATAACTTTTTAACTATGATTGTGACACTATTCTTCTTCTGTTATTGATTCCCAGCATAGTATACCGTAAGATTATCAGATTCAAAGTGGCCAAAGCTTGTCCATCTCATCTCACTAATGTCTATTATGTTGGTGTTTATGCATTCTTTTTCACTTTTTATTAATTTATTTACAAAGTTCATATACACTATGTTTCACACTATTCTTCACTCATATTGTGTTTTGTACACTGTCATGCATTATGTTTTATAAAATTAATCACAATTCGACCTTAGCCTTCATTACCCTATATTTTCACCTGGATTCTCCCATTTCAAGCACCCCCAACCTTCTACCCACCAAACTGTGCAAACCTGTGGTTTCATTCCTACCCATCTTCAGCCCTCTTTCCCTTGAGTTCTCCACACCCTCTCTTAACACTTACTGCTTGCTTCTCTGCTAAACTTTGCCACTGCTACTGGGTTGAGATGGTATTTTATTGTGGTTTTGATTTGTATCTCTCTCATTGTCAATGATTTTGAGCAGCTCTTCATGTGTTTGTTGGCTACCTAAATGTCTTCCTCTGCAGAAAGTCTTTCTATGTCATTTGCCCATTTGGCAATAGGGCCATCAGTCTTTTTATTCTTGATTTTCTGGACTATTCCATAAACATTTATTATCAGACCCTTGTCTGAGATGACATTGTCGAATATTTGTTCCCAGTCAATAGGCCATCTTTTCAGTTTGCTGGAAAAGCTTTTGATGAGCATAGGAATGTACTCTTTAAAAAAATGACATTCATCTATTTTAATCTTACCACATTGTGCATTTCTGGCTGGTTTTGGCTGTTTCTTTATATCATAGGCTAGGACTTCTAAGCTTGGTCCAAGTTTGTCTCTTATAAACTTTATGGTTTTGGGTTTTACTTCCAGCTCTCTCATCTACCTTGAGTTGATTTTTATATATAATGTGAGATGTGGATCCTGTTTCAGCTTTCTACAGGTAACAGTCGAGTTTTGCCAGCATCATTTGTTGAAGAGGTTGTCATGTCCACATTTGATAGTTTTTAGTTCCTTGTCAAATATCAGTTTACCATAGATAGATGGGTTAATTTCAGGGTTCTCAATTCTGTTCCATTGGTCTATGTGCCTGTCATTATACCAATACCATGCTATTTTGGTTACTACCGCTGTGTAGCAGGTTTTAACATCAATCATTTTTCAGAAGTGCTTTGCTTATTCATTATCTCTTTCCACTCCAAATAAACTTGACAATTTCCCTTTCAATCTCCTTGAAAAACGAATATAGTAT